GTATACCAAATAAAAAGTTAGCTCGAAAAATTAAAAAACAGTCTGTTTTATTAAATTTAAAACGATTCTTTTTGACGTTAAACGAAGACATACCAGTAATTCAGACATCAACACCTATATCTAACTAACTCATTTGCTTTTACTAACATATACAACATATTGCTAATGGAATAAAAAAAAATTTTGACAAACACGAAGCCAAATTTGCCTATAAATATTGGTACCTTGCCGTTCTTTTCAATAAATCATCCAGAATTATCTGGCCACTCGGCTTTTCTCCAAAAGAAAAACATTTTGTCTTTCTTTGCCAAAGAACAACTTTCGTGACAACAAAATGAACCAGCTTGTGATATCGTTTCCTTTTCATTTTGAAGAACAAAATATCCCATGCAACTTTGTCATCGTATGGATGGTAAAAGTGCATCCCTCCGGCTTGTTTGGGAGAAACGGAATCTTTAAACCGTGTAATTAAATGTAGTTAGTTTCGGGACTACAATATATCACTTAAGTCCAAATGAGAGAATAATAAGACACTTTTGTTTCAGCGGAAAACTACGTGTTAGTGCAATTACACGTAAATCAAGCCAAACAATTTTCTCTTCATTTCCAGAACAGAATCGAAATACCTAATTTGAGTGTTTATTTCACTAGAAATAGAAAATCCATTAAATAATTGCGAATTGTTCAAAGTATACAGAAAATCAAAATTCGGCTAGTAAAAATATCTATGCAACGCTTAACAATTTATTCTGTTTCTCTTTAATTAGTTCTGAACATATAATTAATATGGCATAACACTATGCAGCATATGTACAGTGCGCAAAAAACGGATCTCCCTGAATTACTTTTGATCTACTGATCATATCTTCGCGTTCTAGAACTAGGAACTATATGACTTTTTTTTTAATTTGGATTTTTCTTTAATTTTTTTAATTAACAGGAACTATTTCACCAATTTCACTCAAATTTTGTATTTTAAAATGTGAAATTGCATTATTTAAAATGATGCAAAAAATTGTATACCTCAATATTCCAAATTTGTCGTCTATCATTAAACAAAATAATTTAAAAAATATATTAACTGGGAGGTTTTTTTGCATGGAATTAGCTTTGGAAAAAGCCTATTTTTACAACAAAAAAAATTTTCAATCAGCTTAAAAAGTTCACGAGATATAGCGGAATACACAAAAAAATAAATTAGCATGAAGGGGTGCGAACTTTGGTTCGTTGTCCTGACCAAACTATAGGGACCATAATTTCCAGATTGCAGCTACCCCCAATGTTTTGGGGGTCAGAAATGCAAATCCATCAAAAATGGTGTGTTTATTTAGAGAAAGTACATTTTTGTGTCTAAATTCGTAACTTGAAATATCGTCTACACTAATTAATTATCATATTTGAACATTAGTATCCTATAATGGGATCCTCATTAGCAAAGAAGATCCGGAAATCATCGGTTGTCATTAACATAAAATTATTAGAAAAATTATAACGGTGAAATAAAAATTTGAGCACCCTGAATAATTCTTACTTTTTCTTATACTTGGATTTCCACTCAATGAGACTCAATGGCCAAACCATAAACATAGTGATTAATTAATGCAGATGATACGTTCTTACGATTGTCAACGAAATTAAGCACAAAGATGTAATTTATCTTATTAACCGTAATTTTTTAAAAGCGGAATTAAATTCTCAAAATATTAAGGGGAGGAATAGCTACAATCTTAAAAAGCGGTCGAAAGTTTTGCCCGTTAATATTAGTTTCACTTTTTGCTTTTTTCACCTTATTAAACTAATGAAGCTAGTATAAAACTAGTTTTGTCCAAAGATAATTTTGCGTAAAAAAATTTTTTTTTCTCATTTTATTATTATTAGCTATTTTTTTTAAGAATGGGCAAAACAAATTTGAATTGTTAGGTCTAAGCTTTTTATACCCAATTTAATCTATACTTTAAAATATCAAAATCTAAAATTTGAAAGAATTCAGTCAAATAGGTTTTGAGGAGTAAAAATTTTGAAAATTGATTTATTCAAATCAAAATTTTTATATATTTGAGATAGTGAAGTAAGCAAAAAGTAAAATTACATTGAAAAACCGAAATTTTCAACTCTCACAAATTTTGAGAGTCAAGAATCCAAATCCGTCGGAAAAAAAGCGTTTTTTTATTCAGAAAAAGTAAGTTTTTGTGCCTGATTTCGTAACTTAAAATATCATCACCCCTCCTCGAATCATTAAGATTGAGTCCTATAATGATCCTTAGATCAAATGTTATTAAGGTTGGTCTGTTTATTTATGTATTTATTATTATTATTTTCAATAACTATTACTATTGCTATTCAAAGAGCTATTTTGAAATACGCATATTCAAAATATGAAAATGTTTCTTGCTATAGTATATGTAAATAAATTTATGGAAAGTAAACATTTTGGGGTCATATTTTCACAAAAATGCTCTATTAACTTATATTTAACCGTTTAACAACGAAAACATCAATAATTAAATAATGACTGATTTAAACATTTTTAGAAATATTTTTCAAAAATCTTTTTCTTTATTTTGATATAAGTNAAATGCTCATTTAACTTATATTTAACCGTTTAACAACGAAAACATCAATAATTAAATAATGACTGATTTAAACATTTTTAGAAATATTTTTCAAAAATCTTTTTCTTTATACTGATATATTTTAGTCCATACTTTTAAGTTTTAGTATTATAAATCGATTTGGGGCCGTGGTGGCACAGGGGACAGAGCACTCGCTTCCAAATTAGATAAACCGGGTTTGAATCCCAGCTATGACTGGTCGATACGAATTCCGCACCCGGCTCTCACCGACCACAGTGCCGACGTAAAATATCCTCAGTGATAGGCGGATAATGGATCAGGCTAATAACAGTGGAATGCTTCCGTGGTTTTCTTCTCCATGCAATGCAAAGGTGGGTTAGTTCCATCAAAAAAGTCTTCCACGAAGTCAACATTTCCCCCAATACTTGACTTCTTGTCCGTTTGACTTCTGGATCGCGTTCAAAATTACAATGCTACAAAATTGAACATTGGTAGTTGTATACACAGAATCGGGTCAGCTGTTCAACGACAGTGATAATATAAAATTATAAATCTATTTAAATCTTATGATTAAAACATTTACGCGTTATTTTAAGATCTACATTATTAATACTACAAGTAGATTTAGCTCTTTATCATGCCGAATATATGAATCATCATGCTTATAGTCATGCGGAATATCATGTTTTTTTAAATTGCAAAATGTTGCTTCGTGTTTAATTTGAAATTGCGAGGTATAACGCTATATTTCAAGTTTTTCATAATTTTATTGCTATTGTTTTAGTTAGTAGTTTAAATTTTTTTGTAACTATCTGTGTCTCGTCAGTTCGAAGGGTCACGCGACCACTTAAAAAGACACCTTTACACCTTAAAAATGATTTTTTTTATTTCTTTACATTATTAGATATTAGAAACTTAATTAATTTGGAGCAAACTAAATATATTCAGGTTACTTTATGTTCAAAATTTCAAAAACAAAATTGTAAAAATTAAAAGGGATGTTAAATTCAAATATTTATTTTAAAAATTTTCCTTGCTCAATGTTTTTTAAAATATTTTTAAAATAAATTTTGGGTCTCAAATGCGGTACAGAAAAAATGCTACAAGAAACTATTTATACATTTAGAATTTAAAATGCTGATTTTTAAATTTTAGATTATTTTTCTAAATTTTACGAAAATTTAAATTTTTTTCATAAACATGCATTTTTGTGACAATTTCATGCAACATTTTCTCAAAGCTTCATTTGTGATTATTTTTTAAGAAAATCAAAATTATTTATTAACGTTTGTTACATGAGAGACATTTTTTAAATTAGGAGGAATTAAAAATATATTTTATTTAATATCTTCATTATTCAATTGAGGATGGCATATAATTCTATACTAAACAATAGGTAAAACTAAAAGTGTATAAAGCCCAAAAAAAGGCACAAAAATAAAGATACTGTAGTTTTGGTTCTACAAATACATTCCTTCAGTGTCAAAACACAAAATAACATTTGTGCCATTTTTCTGTTTCAACTCTGAGGATGATTCTGTCTCACAGAACCAAAATTATCATACGTCAATTTTTGTGCCGCTATTTGTACTTTATTCTTGTTGTTATTTTCACACACAATTCAAAAATGTGACTTTTTGTGAAATGTTTGAACTATTTAAATGCAATGATTCTTGCAGGAAAAAACTGGTCCAAAAAGAGAGATTATTTATCCAAAGATAATTCCATACAAAAATAATATTTTTCATAATTATTTATTATTTTTCCTTATTTTATTTCATAACAGCCAAAAAATTTGGAATTATAAAGTATACATTTTTTGCATCACTTTAAGGAATATATTTTTACATGGCAAAATACAAAATTTGAGTAAAATCAGTTGAGTAGTTTTTTCTTTTTTTTTTAGTTGAATAGAAAAAGAATTTGTAAAATACTATTTTATACGACCTATATTCTGACAAATCTATAAGGATCATATTTCCCAAATAGCTGCTACCCCTTGTATTAGGGCGATTAGAAATCCGAAGCCGTTGAAAAGATGTATGTTTATTCAGAGAAAGTACATTTTTGCGTCGAATTTCATAACTTTAAATATCCTCTGCACTATTTAATTAGCATATTTGATGTCACCCCCTCAAATCATTAAGAATGAGTTCTAGAACGTGAAGATCCGATCATTATTAGATCAAAACTTAATAAAGGTGGTTCGGTTTTTATTTTGTGCTCTGCACATGCGTAACAAACACAAATTATTATGTTTCGAGCATTAAAAAGATATTTTTAAAGGTCCTCTGTTTAGATAACAATAAATTAATTATCCGTGCATTTTTAAATTGTGTCATAGAAAGTGAAAATACTTAATAAATAAATAATTTGTAGTAATAAATATATGACTGAATTTTCATATTTTCTTTTGCTCTTTTTCAGTGTCTTTGGATGCCCGACCAATCGTCATTCCTATTTTGTCGTGTGTCATATGTTTTCCAATATTAGCCTTTGCAGTCATTTGTGCTCTAAGGTACAGAGCCATTAGATTAAGACAAAGGGACCAACTCAAGCGTGTACAATCTGGGTGAGTATATATATATATATATATATANAAATCCATCATATATATACGTATTTTTTTAATCATGTTAAAAAAGGAATGTTCTGAAAATCAATGAATCTGAAATTTCAATAAATGAATAAATGATGAACCTCAGTATGTATAATAATAAAAATTAAAAAGTTAAAAATTGCATCAAGCGGACAAAAGGAAATCGGAACTCATGTCTTAAATTGATATTTAACTTATAATAAAAATTTGACAATAGATTTAAATTCATTAAACTAGACTACTAATTGCAAAATATGATGTTTAGAGACCAATAAAAATGTTAAATCTATTTATTTTCTTTACATTTTATCACCATCTTTGTAACTGAATTTTACGTATCTAGAAGGAAACATTCAAAAACTGAAACTTCTGAAAATTGCGTTGCTGTTGGGTGCAGAGCTCCAGTAGGTACTTGAGCACTCTAACTTGTCGGAGAGTGTTCAAAGTTTTGATTCTTGATAAATTTTATTAGGCTATAAAATGGTGATATAAGTTACTTTATAGCAGTCAGGAAAGGTTTGTAAATTGCGTTGTTATTGGTTACACAGTTCTATTATATATTTAAGTGCTCTGGCTAGTCGGAAAGCGATCGAAATTCTGATTGTTGATAAATTCTATTCGATGATAAAATTGCACTGTTGTAGCAGTCAGGAGACATTTGAAAATTGCGTTGTTATTGAGTAAAGAACTCCAGTAGATATTTAAGTGCTCTTGCAAGTTGGAAAGTGGTCGAAATTTTGGTTGAAAAATCCATCCTTAAATACTTGAAAGCAAGTTAACGACAATATTCTATAATTTGAATTTCGAATTAAATGCTGATTTTTCAATTGCCAGAATTCATTTCAGTTTTGCTGAAAATATCAATGGCAACACCTCTGAAAACAACATCCAAATGTTTTATCTGTAAATAAAATAATCTCAGGAAAGTTCGAAAATGTGTATTTTTATAGAAGCAAAGAAACGTAAAATGAAATATGTCAAGTGCAAACGACGATAAAATATTTCAGAAAATGAGCTTTATTTCATGAGAAAAAGATATCCAAAAAGGGTTATGTCGGAACTACTGAGAAAGTCTAAGCATAGATTTAGATTTCATTTTTGAGTCACAAATTCGCAAGAAATAAAAATCATAATGCGTTTTTTTTCTGCCTCCAGCTTAACTTATCACTCACTATACAAGATCATAAGATAGAAATATGGTTTCAAAAATAGATTTTCAGAAAATATATTTGGATTTGAAATATTTTACAATGTTTTCTCTTGAAATATTTACTTTTCAATTTCTATATTTGTATGGGATATTTGTTAGAATATTCGATGTAACGATACTTTTTATGATGCAAAATATAAAATAATCAAATATCTGAGAGCCATCTCAAAAGTAAAAGCAAAGGCACCTATTTTTTTTCTTTGGGAGGGGGGGTGGTAAAAGTAAAACAATGTTTATTTTGTATGTTAAAAATACTTGCGCAGAATTAAAAAGCTTTGACGCATATGGGACACCAGTGCGTCAAAGCACTGAATATTTGATCAAATATTTTAGGAAAATCTCAAAAGTAAAGGCAAAGACACCTATTTTTTTTTCCTTTGGTGGTAAATGGAAAACAAACACTGGTTTATTTTCTATGTTAAAAAACTTGCAGAGCGTTACAAAGCTTTGACGCGTATGGTTCACTGATGCTGTCCCTTTTATAAATTCGTTTTCTGACGTTCTAAATAAAAACAATAATATATTTTGATATTTTTTGATAATAAAAAACAGTTTAATAGTTGCTAAAAAAGTCTGTTTGGATATTGGAAATATATTTTCATTAATATGCAAAATACAAAAAAAAGTAGTTTAAAATTTTTTTTATTAATATTCAAGCATTTATCAATAATTTATTTTGTAAATTAAGGAAATTCCAATGATGAATAGCTGTTACTCTTAGATGTAACAAAACTACAGATAATTTCAAAGTTGAAAAATTATCGTTTGGAAGTGAGCAGTGTTTGGAAGACTTTACCAATAACGCAGAAAAAGACACCTGTGTTTCATGACTTATTTTGACTTATTTCGTTATTAACTTATTTTGGCCTAAATTAATACAATATAATAAAAAAGACTATGAAAAATGCGTTTACTAAAAATTTTACCGTATTTTACAAACAATTTACCATATTTTATTAAACATTTGCAAATATTTTACCATATTTAAATAGGCTAAATTAGGCTCAATCCCACGAATAATTAAGATAGCATCTTAGCACCTGAAAATCGAATGATGAGATCGAAAGTTATTAAGGTGTTCGCGCTTTATTGAGTGTGTATTTCACCATTTCCGTGCTGCTTTTTACCTCGTTAAAAAGTTTTATTTTAAAAATGTACTTCCTCTAATCTCTAGCATTATTATGAAAACTCAATTTATATGCCATCGAACAATTTTATGTTACATTATTGCTATTTTTAAAGCAATTTTTAACCCTAACTGAATTTGGCAACCTTTTCAGATGCCGTTCCGTTACCCTAGAGATACCAGCTAGAGACAAATCCTCATTTTATTCCAAGGACTCATCATCAGATCCAAGCCTCAAGGGACTCGGAGAAATATCACAAGCTATTCCAGACAGTCCTCCACTGCTGTCAGCGCCCAGCACGTCAGGCATTGCCAGCCGAAGAAGCTCCAAAAGTAGTCAACACGTCAAGTTCATGACAACAACAGCTGTGTTCCACGGCCGGACGATTACTGGATTAAATGGTCGATTCAAATCGACAGGCAAGTCTCAAAAGATTTTCTGGGACGAACACTCGTCTCACATAGAAAGCGCTCAAGAACTCGAAAGGGAATTAAGTTTGACTCTCAACAGCTAGCAGATGGAGAACTTAGGACTCTCTTCTAAAAGAAAATCCATCGATAAAAGGGTTTGAGAAAACTGCAATTTTCAAAGTCAATTTTTAAATCTGATGATTTGATAACATAGTTGCAAGTCGCAGAATAACTTTTTAACTAGATTTTTATCGAAAGCATGTCGGAAAATAGTTAAGTACTTGATATGAATTTCGAGTACTGATCTAATTTATTCTGAATAAATTTCTATTAGTATCCAATTGTAAAACCGTTCTAATTTACAAGTTCTATGATGTAAACTTTGACTATGGGAATTCAATTAAATAATTATATACATTTGTTTTTAAATATTATTTTTAACAATGTAAAACAATTTAAACTTATGACTCTCTTCTTAAAGAAAATCCATCTATGAAAGAATTTACGAAAGCAGCAAGTTTCAAAGTCAATTTGTGAGCCTGACGATTGATAACTTATTTGCAATTCGCAGAGTAACTTTTTAACTAGATTTTTATCGAATGCATGGCAGAAAATAATTAGGCACTCGATAAGATCTAATCAATTTTCTTCTGAATAAATTTCTATTAGTATCCAAATGCAAAACCATTTTCATTTAAAAATTCTAATATTTAAACTTTGATTATGAGATTTCAACTTAATTCTTATATGCATTTGATTTAAAATAATATTTTTAACAATTTAAACCACGTGATTTGATAGAAGTAAAAAAAATGCTAATGCTGATCATGATGAAAAAGTTGCTGCAGCTGAAGAACTTAGAAAAGAGAATCCTTTAATAAAAGAATTTTAAAAAAATTGCAATTTTCAAGTTCAATTTTTTAATTTGTAGATTTAATAACTTAATTGCAATTGGCAGGGAAAAAAATTTAGCTTTACTTTTATCGAATGCAGGCTAGAAAATTATTAAGAATTCGGTTACTTTTTTACAAACTCTTACAAACTCTTACAAAACTGGTTTATTTACAAAACTCTGGTGACAAAATTTTTGTAAAGGAACATTTAAAAAATTATTTATCTCGAATTAATATCAAAAAATTTACTTCTGTGATTGTATGATGCATTTTTAAATCATTCCTGAAAAGGAGTTGTTATGTAAACAAAACTATATTATATGTACGAGATCTCGTATCTCGATAGTTTGTATATATGTGCGAATACTCAACAAATTCTGTATGCATGAAAAAATTAGAAACCTCTACGATCTTTCTATGATAAAGCTATATATTTAGTAAAATGAAAATTTGCTTCATATTATGTATGCAAAATTAAAATTAAATATAAAATTAGAAATTTGAAAGTTATTGCACAATTTTAATAAAAAGGCTTTTAACCCAAGTCTGCTAATTTTATAAAAAGGCAAAATAGTGGTAATTAATAAAAAGGCAAAATAGTGGTAGTAAAAATCTTTCATTTTTATCCTTTTTCTGATTTCTGATGGTGAAAGTTAACCGAAATTACCTTTATTCATAAACAGCTATAAGATAAATAATTTGAATTTTCACATGATTTTATTGACTATTATAATAGTAGGCACGAACTCTTCGTTAGAGATGTTTTTACTACAAGTATTTGATATTTTCTGCCCTGTTCCAAATTCAATTTCTAATTAGACATAGCAATAAAATGAAATGTAAAATTCCAGCATTCAATAGGGATTATCATTTAAATCTTATCTAACAAGGAAGGTGTCCTCGTCAATCGTCATTTTACAGATTGTTTTTTTTTTCTTCCTTTTTTTAATTCGGAAATAATGTATAAAATTTATTTTTTATATTTCAAATTAATAATTATCAAGTTATAAATTATCAAAGAAATTTTTTATTAAATACGTTGCCAACCTCTATTCTGCCGTCGGAAGAAAACAATTGTCAGAAGTACAAGATTGATTTAATTTAAATTTTTTCTGTAATCGAAGACTTTAATATATACGTTTAAAAAGTCTAAAATTAAAAGTCTGAGATTAAAATTAGACTTAAAAGTTCTACCTATTTTAAAGTAACAAATGATAAAAATTGTTGCACAATAGCACAAAAACAATATTTGTTTAACAAATATTGTTTTTGTGTTATTGTGCAACAGTAATTATTTTAAGAATTACTATTATTTTAATAATTACTGTTTAATGATACTGCTTTATTAATTGCAGTAATTATTTTAGCTAACACTTTTTTTTAGTTTACAACTTATTATTATATTATTTAATTAGAATTGGGTACTTTCACTCCAAAAAGAAGAAGATCACAAATACCCACACATGTGAACTATGCCTTCAGTTCCTGCTTATCGCTCATAAGCAAAATTGGCGTGTTAAATTTGAGCTAAGTTTCGTCCTATAATTTAGAATGTTAATTAACGTGGTGAAGTTAATTAAATACAGTTCCGTATCGGTCATCGAATGTGTTGAATTTTAATTCTTTCTTGTCTACATCTTTTACTTAACTGATATTTATTATTCGTTTATGTATTTCATTGTAACAGTGATATATTTTAGTCTTGTGTACCCGGCAACTTCGATGCATAATTAATTTGTTTATGTCCTACGTGGCTTCATGCTGGTCTTTGTGTTAAGTAAGAAATGTATAGTAAAAGATTTGAAAACTTTGTGGAAGAATCTTTGTGCAAAAATATAGAATGTGTCACTTAAGAGAATTGATACTTGTCTGGCTCGGCTTACTTGAAATATAGGAAGGAAAGAACAGTTGCTAAAGTAAACAAATACCACGTTTAAACTACCAATCATGATCGAGATACCCACACTTGCAGATATCCCATTCTGAATAGAAATCGTTTGAAATTGTTCATCTTTTAAGCACCCTAAAAAGGATTTTCTCAACTGTGCTTGTTATCAAGCATTTGAAGAAATTTATGATATATTCTTTGCAAATTTTGTTCACTTAAACTTACTACAATACTTTTTCTTACAGTTTCAATAATTCATATCTCTGCAACCCCAGTGAAAAAGACAAAAATTTTATTTGTATCATTTTTCAACCAAATAATTTATGGTATAAAACAACTTATGGTATGGCTTGATTTGCGAGTGGCGCTATACCTAACTTATAAAATAAATACATCATACAGACAATCATGAAAAAAAGTTTCACATTTGCAAATTTTTAACTGCATGATTTGATATTTGTTAATGTATAAGTGGTAAATTTGTTCATACACGTATACAATTTATTAGCGCATTATTATTGTATAAAAATGCTGAATTTAAACAGTTTTATTACTCCTGATTATTCGAAACAATGAAACTTTCATATTAAAACGGAGAAAAAATTCACAGTACAGAATGGTAATGACATTTCTGATATAAAAAATAGGGAAGAAAAGCATAATTCTGATTAATGAAACCAAAATATACGCAATTTAAACCAATTATTTGGTAATTTTTCCGTTCATATGTTTAGGGTTTACCGGAATTTCTAGTCTTCAAAATTATAGTTTTTATCAACACCTATTGGATAAAAAATATAAAACTAGCAAATTTAACTGAATAAAAGGTTTTCATGCCAATGCTCTAATGTATAATCATAAAATTACCAAATTTTACCTTATTTTCAAAATTTTATTACATATTATAGTACCATATTTTGTTGTTAATTTTACCGAAATCATTTCGGTATAAATTACCGAGCTTTCTGATGTTCTAACAGTCAGAAACAAGGTAGTTTTGACCATACTTTTTTTAATTAATTCAAATGAAGCTATTTCAACGTATTAATACATCAATAGCAAAGACGTTACGTCTATATTTAAGAAATTTTTTATGCACGTTTCAATTATTAAATTTTAACATATTTAAATACTACTCTCTTGATATTCTTATTTTTTTATTATATCCTTCCTACTTTCATAGTTTATCGGCTTTTTTTAAAATAGAGAAAATAACAATAAAGAGATATAAACTTTGCATATTTTTACAATATTTTTTTTATTTTAAGTTTGTATACTAATGTATGCAAATGTAAATTGCATGAAAAGTCTTGCCGCTTTGCTCTCTAATGTATTTAGCTTCTTTCTTTATTTAAATATTTAATTTTATCTTATTGCGAAAAGAGAATTATGAATTATATACAAGTTTTGAGCTTAGATATTTATATGATGTATGAAAGATGTCAAAAACATTAATTTGATGTCTAAAAAAAGTTTCAAGTAGGTAAAAAGTATTTATTTCCTAAAATTACAACTTCAATTTTCAGAATTAATGAGATAGAGTTAAGGATAAATATATATAAAAACTTAATTAATTCAAAAATATTCATTTCGTGGTTCAGACATAATGTAGGAAAGGTAATTTTTATATTTTAGTAAGTTGCAAAAGTAAATATTACTATGTGTGACAAATAATTAAGAAAACATAAATATTAATTAGAGAACTCAATAAAAAATACTTATAATAAATTAATAATTATCCACTCATTTCATTTTGAAGTTTTATTTTTATTTGATGAAATACCGTTAATTATTTTTAAAACTTTGAGACAATCTATTAGAATGTCATTGAATAATGCATAAAAGTTTCTCCATCTAAGCATGCATATGCATGAAATATATGTTCCGCATTTATGAATATTAAACACTTTAAAAGTTTTCATTTTTCTGTTTAAGAATTCTTATACTTTATTACATGGTTATAAGTGTGCGCGAACTCACATTCCTGATTTTTAACTTTAAAAAAAAATATGACAAAGCTTTCTCTGAAGTTGAGGCAGGAGATATATTGATGAATGTAGCGTTGAAATGTATTAAGTTTGTTTATTTTATGAATAACTATTTATAATATAATTTACCTTTTCCTTCATAAAAAAATTTAAATATTTAAGTTTTTTACTAAATTTTCGAAAAGTATAAGGTATTCCGGAAAGAATAATCTTATTATATATTTCATATATTTATGCAAAAAGGAAGCCAAATTTCTGTGCACATTTTGTTTCAAAATTGTTCAAAATAAGTGGAAAAAAACATTTTTGAACTCTGGCCTTAGTAAAAACAAGAATTGGATTAAAATCATCTAGTTTGTAAACGTTGCAGTTGGAAAACATCTAAAGTAAAGGTGATTCCATGCGAAAGGTGAATGCGTGAAACGTTTCAAATACCGTAAACCGGGAAGAGTCTACCCATTTTTTCAGTTTGTCAACTTTCAAGTGGTCAAACTTTTGTAAATATTAAAGAAAAAAGGCTTTTAATAGGTGTTTCGGAATCGCTATTTATCCCTCTTTAAAACTGTGAAATCGATTTTAGAAAATATTAACAGTTACGCTGTTACTGTATATTTTTATAGAACTGCTGACAAATCTCTCGTATGGGGCGA